TGCTGGGTGCTCTGCCTGCCCTCAGCACGGCACACTGTGCAGCCCAGCCCCGTTTACTAACGGTTTGCACCGCGGTGTTGGGCGTTACTTGGGGTTTCGGTTCTGTTCGGAAACGCTTCCGCCGCCGGCAGTGCCAGGAACGGCGCGGGGAAACCGAGAGCAGCCGGTGCTGCCCGGCCCCTCCGCCCCTGTAACCACAGGCAAACAAACGGGCTGGGGAGGCTCCCACAAAGGCTGGATTCATCTCACAGCCCCTCACACGCAGCTCCACGGGGAGAAAGTGGCTCTTGGGTGGAGGCTGTGCGGAATTAAAGGCGCGTTTTTCGCTGTTTCTGTCTCCCCAGGGCTCAGACAAGAGGGGGTTGTTGTGAATTCAGGTGAGCGTGGCACAGAGCAGAGCTGCAGAGCATCAGCCTGGCTCAGGATTTACTGGTGGGAGAGCCAGGAATCCCAGCTCAGGATTTACTGACCAGGAGATGCAGCATCAGACATCATCCCACAACTCCTGCTCCAGGGTTTTCATCCAGGTGCAAACAGAAATTTATATGATATTTACAACCCCGAGTGGTAAATTACAGTTCTCCAAACCCAACCACCACCAGCTAGTCAGGCACACAAAAAAACAATATCAAGCAAAACCTGATAGACCCAAACATCCCCTGAAACATTCCAAAACCTGGCACAGCTGTGGCTGCCCCTGGACCCCTGGAAGTGTCCAAGGCCAGGTTGGACAGGGCTTGGAGCACCCTGGGATGGTGGAAGAGCACCCTGGATGGCAGAGGGGATGGAATGAGATGATCTTTGAGGTCCCTTCCATCCAATCATCCCATAATCCTATAATTGCATCGTTCACTGGGGTTCCTGCAGCCCCCACATTTTTGGGACAACAAAATGGGTGATAAAAAAAAATACAGAATTACCCCGGGGCTCGGCGCTGTTGCAATATATTCTCCAGAGCTCCATCCCTGCCTGGATGAAAAATATCCTGGCATAGTTTTCCCCCCAAAGAGGTCTGCTTTCTGTTAAAGCTGCAGGAGGAATGACCCACCACCAGGCCACCATAAATGGGCCCCTGGTCCAGCCTGAGAGGGGCAAAGAGCCTCGTGCAAGGCAGATGGGAGCTGGTGACGTGGTGGAGCTGGGATGTGGCGCAGGAAAAGGGGGCAGGAAGCTGGAGCTGGTTTCCAACATCCCTCACCCCAGCTGCAACCATGGGGGCTCAGCTGCTCTTGGGCATCCCGGGTGTTTCCTGCACAGAGGGGATGATAAAATGCACTGAGCGCTGCCAGCTGCTGCAGCTGGAGAAGGCTTTGGGTGAAAGAAATTCTTAAAATATATATAATTGTATGTAAATATATGGTTTTTTACTTCTTTTTGTGCGTATAAATAGAATTGGATGGAATCGCAGAATGGCCCTGACTTGGAAAAGACCCACAAGGATCACCAAGCCGAATTTTTGAATATATTTATATAAATGTATATTTATATCAATATGTATGATATATACAAATATCAATGTATTGATATTTGTGTATATAAATACATGTAAATATATATTACATATATTATATATTTATATGTATAAATATAAACAAAATTATATTATATATAATATATAAATATCTATATATATATACAATATATATAAATATATATTTTTTATACATTGATATATATATATTGATGTTTATATCAATACATCCCTCTGCTGCATCAGGACACCCTGGGGGTTCCTGTGATCCCAAATCCCCCCAGTTTAACCCCATCACCCCAGTTTCCTTCCCCCACTGCAGGAAGCTGACAGGGCAGGAAGGAGGTGCCTGATAGTGCAGGAAGGGGGTGTCAGGAACCAATGCTGAGTTTTGGGATGACTCTGCCAAGCTCTGGGGACCACCCAGCCCCGGATGCAGCCACCAGCTCCCACACCCCCCCCTCCCTGCCATGGAAACCACCGCGAGCACCCAAAACACAAACAGCTCATTTTTAGTTCCTTGCAAGGCGGCTTTGCCCGAAAAGGAAAGAGGTGGGGAGAGGACGCATCTCCTGCCCACGCAGGAATTTGGGGAGGGGAGAGGCCCTGCCCTCCCACAGCGGGGTCTGCACCTTGCAGGGCACCCCCTTTCTTCCACAGGGTGCCCTGGGCAGCATTTTGTACCACTCAGAATGGTGGGACCCCAGCACTGGGTTTAGGGTATTGCCCCCACCTGGGTTTAGGGTCCCCTATGGGGCAGCTGGGGGGATTCAGATTTTGGATGCCTTCGCTCCCCTTGCCTGGAGCTGAGTCATGGCAAGCTCTGGGTGTCCTGGGCTGTTCCTCCCCCCTCCATGTGCCTCCCCAGTGAGTAATGCTCAGGCGACAGAGATCAGCTCCCGCCTCAGCTCCCGGCTCCGGCATCTCCTTATATGACCAGGGAAGCTGCTGGGCAGGAACCGGGCACAGCCCCGTGCCCTGGCACCGCTCAGGGCATGGAGGCACCCTGGCACGGCTGTGGGCAAAGCCTCTGGGCTGCTCCTTCATGCCCTGCCTGCTGTGGCCTCGCAGAAAGCAGCAGAAGCTCCGTGAGCTCCGTGTCCCAGCCCGGGGAGGTGGCAGCCAGGTGGCACTGTGGAAACGCTGGAGTGGGCATGGCTGTGACAGAGACAGAGCTGGCACCCCGCAGCACTGAGCTGGGGTGAAGCATTGCTCTGGGGCTCTACCTGTGCCCAGGTGTGTGGGGGTGCTGCCAGTGCCCCCCAGCCTAACCCAGCAAAGCCCCTCCATTGCCTGCAGCAGGAAAAATGAGACATGGGAGCAGCTGGGAGTGCCCTGCAGGGCATCTCTGCCCCAAAGGGTCACCAGGGCCACCCCACCCTGCCCAGCAGCACCCCAGATCCCACAGCAGGTAAAGGGCCTGTCCAGCAGCAGTGCTGAGCACGCACAAACTCGTGACTGCAGGACAGGAGCCAGGTTTCCTGTCATGCTTCTTCAGCAAAGCTTTTCCCCTTTCTGCTGTTTTTTTCCTCCTTTCTGGGAGCTTTAGGAGCAAATCTCAGTCAGTTATGGCAGTGGCTGAAAACCGACCAGCAGGAGGGGAAGGAGAGTCCAGGATTTGGATCAGGGGTGTGCTGATAAATCAAAGACAGCATCACCATGGGGCAGGTGGGTCGAGATAGCATCACCATGGGGCAGGAGTCTGTCTGGACTTCCAGAGGGGCTGTCTGGGGGCACAGGGCTGGAACAAACACAGCTCCTAAAACCCTTA